CGAACCCAGTATTGATTCGTTTATCGATCAAACATCCCGTGGAACTTCCTAGAGAGAGGGATTCTCGATGTTCCTACCGCCAGCATACGCCTGAAGCTTAAGTCTCCAGATCGTCTCAGCAGCTGCTCAGCTACTCCTACCACGCTTCTGAGCTTCCTTCAAGATCACTGAATCGAGTATTGATCCATTTTTATCGATCAAACACTTTGTTGTTGGAGTGTCTGCAAAAGGGGTTTCGTGAATGCTCCTACCACTCGCGTATGCTTCCGCCTTAATTCTTCAGACTGTCCCAACAGCTGCTCAACCACTTCTCCCACGATTCTATGCTTCGGTTAGGTTACCGAGTCCAGTATTGATTCTTTTATCGATCAAACACTCCCTGGAAGTGTCTACAGAGGGGGATTCTCGATGTTCCTACCGCCAGCATACGCCTGAAGCTTAAGTCTCCAGATCGTCTCAGCAGCTGCTCAGCTACTCCTACCACGATTCTGAGCTTCTTTCAGATCACTGAATCGAGTATTGATCCATTTATCGATCAGACATTCTAGGCAAGTGTTTAGAGAGGAGGTTCGTTCTACCACTCGCGTACGCTTGAGCGTTAATTCTTCAGACTGTCCCAACAGCTGCTCAACCACTTCTTCCTCGATTTAAAGCTTCGGTTAGGTTATCGAACCCAGTATTGATTCGTTTATCGATCAAACATCCCGTGGAACTTCCTAGAGAGAGGGATTCTCGATGTTCCTACCGCCAGCATACGCCTGAAGCTTAAGTCTCCAGATCGTCTCAGCAGCTGCTCAGCTACTCCTACCACGCTTCTGAGCTTCCTTCAAATCACTGAATCGAGTATTGATCCATTTATCGATCAGACATTCTAGGCAAGTGTTTAGAGAGAGGGAGGTTCGTTTAAACCACTCGCGTATGCTTCCGCCTTAATTCTTCAGACTGTCCCAACAGCTGCTCAACCACTTCTTCCTCGATTTAAAGCTTCGGTTAGGTTATCGAACCCAGTATTGATTCGTTTATCGATCAAACATCCCGTGGAACTTCCTAGAGAGAGGGATTCTCGATGTTCCTACCGCCAGCATACGCCTGAAGCTTAAGTCTCCAGATCGTCTCAGCAGCTGCTCAGCTACTCCTACCACGCTTCTGAGCTTCCTTCAGATCACTGAATCGAGTATTGATCCATTTATCGATCAGACATTCTAGGCAAGTGTTTAGAGAGGAGGTTCGTTCTACCACTCGCGTATGCTTCCGCCTTAATTCTTCAGACTGTCCCAACAGCTGCTCAACCACTTCTTCCTCGATTTTAAAGCTTTTCGTTAGGTTACTCGAACGCCAGTATTCGATGTCGTTTTCGATGCAAACATCCCGTGGAACTTCCTAGAGAGAGGGATTCTCGATGTTCCTACCGCCAGCATACGCCTGAAGCTTAAGTCTCCAGATCGTCTCAGCAGCTGCTCAGCTACTCCTACCACGCTTCTGAGCTTCCTTCAAATCACTGAATCGAGTATTGATCCATTTATCGATCAGACATTCTAGGCAAGTGTTTAGAGAGGAGGTTCGTTCTACCACTCGCGTATGCTTCCGCCTTAATTCTTCAGACTGTCCCAACAGCTGCTCAACCACTTCTTCCTCGATTTAAAGCTTCGGTTAGGTTACCGAACCCAGTATTGATTCGTTTATCGATCAAACATCCCGTGGAACTTCCTAGAGAGAGGGATTCTCGATGTTCCTACCGCCAGCATACGCCTGAAGCTTAAGTCTCCAGATCGTCTCAGCAGCTGCTCAGCTACTCCTACCACGCTTCTGAGCTTCCTTCAAATCACTGAATCGAGTATTGATCCATTTATCGATCAAAACACTTTGTTGGAGTGTCTGCAAAAGGGGTTTCGTGAATGCTCCTACCACTCGCGTATGCTTCCGCCTTAATTCTTCAGACTGTCCCAACAGCTGCTCAACCACTTCTCCCACGATTCTATGCTTCGGTTAGGTTACCGAGTCCAGTATTGATTCTTTTATCGATCAAACACTCCCTGGAAGTGTCTACAGAGGGGGATTCTCGATGTTCCTACCGCCAGCATACGCCTGAAGCTTAAGTCTCCAGATCGTCTCAGCAGCTGCTCAGCTACTCCTACCAGATTCTGGCTTCCTTTCCAGATGCCACTGAATCGAGTATTGATACCATTTATGGATTCAGACATTCTAGCAAGTGTTCTTTAAGAAAGAAGGAGAGTTCGTTCTACCACTCGCGTACGCTTGAGCGTTAATTCTTCATACTGTCCCAACACCTGCTCAACCACTTCTCCCACGATTCTAAGCTTCGGTTAGGTTACCGAATCCAGTATTGATTCGTTTATCGATCAAACATCCCGTGGAAGTTCCTAGAGAGAGGGATTCCCGATGTTCCCAGCATACGCTGAAGCCTTGAATCTCCAGTCGTGCTTCAGCAGTTACTTCAGTTACTCGGTACCCACGATTCGAGCTTCTTGCATCAGATCGAGTGGAAGTCGGAGTATCCTGATCCGCATCCATAGGAGTGCGGTTAAACATCCCCTGTAAGCTCCCAGAGAAAGAGGGTTCGTCAACGTTCCTACCACTGGCATAGGTTTGAGCCTCAATTCTTCAGGGCGTCTGAACAGGTGCTCAGCCACTTCTTCCACGATTCTAGGCTCCAATCCAATATTGACTCGTTTATCGATTAAACATTCCCTGGAAGTGACTAGAGAGGGGGCTTCGTCAGCGTTCCTACCATTCGTATATGCTTGAGCCTTAATTCTTCAGGCCGTCTGAGAAGGTGCTCAACCACTTCTTCCACGATTCTAAGCTTCTGTTAGGTTACCGGATCCAGTATTGATCCATTTATTGATCAAAAATTCCCTGTAAAATTCCCTGTCTAGAGAGGGGGATTCTCGATGTTCCCACCACCAGCATACGCCTGAACCTTAATCTCCAGATCGTCTCAGCAGTTACTCAGCCACTCCTACCACGATTCTGAGCTTCTTTCAGATCACTGAATCGAGTATTGATCCATTTATCGATCAGACATTCCGTGGAAGTTCTAGAGAGGGGGGCTTCTACCACTCGCGTACGCTTGAGCCTGAATTCTTCAGGCCGCCCTAGCAGCTGCTCAGGCTGTTCTTCTACGATTCTAGACACCTACTGGGTACCCTGATCGAGTATTAATCCTTCTATTGATCAAATGTTCTCCGGGAATGTTTAGGCGGAGGAGTTCGTTGTACCTCATGTATGCCTCCAACTAAATTCTTCCCACGGTCTCAGCGGCTGCCCAGTCACTTCCTGCACAATCCTAAGCATTGTTTAGGTTACTACATTGGTTGTAGGTCCTTTTATCGATCAAACATTCTCAAGAAGTGCCTAGAGAAGGGAGCTCGTCAAAGTTCGTGCCTTTCGCATATGCTTGTGCCTAATTCTTCAGACCATCTGAACAGCTGCTCAGTCACTTCTTCCACAATTCTATGCGTCTTTTAGGTTACCAAATGGAATATTGATTCGTTTATTGATCAAACATTCCTTGCAAATGTCGTGAGAGGGAGGTCTGTTGAAGTTCCTATCTTTCGAGTACGCTTGAACCTGGATTCTTCAGACCGTCTCTACTGCTGTCTAATTAATTCTTCTACAAATTCTAAACATTTTTTTGGTTTACAGATTCGAGTTTTGATTCGTTTATTGATCGGGCATTCCCTGAAACTGTCTGGAGAGGGGCTCGTCAAAAGTTTCTATCACTCCCATACACTAGTCCTTGGTTGTTCAAACCATCTTAGAAGCTGCTCAACTACTTCTTCCATAATTCTGAACGTCTTTCAGGTTCCTGAATCCAGTGTCAGTTTAACGTTTTGTTCACATGTATAGAAAGGAGATTTCCTTGGTGTTCCTACCACTCATGTACGCTTGCGCCCTACATCTTCAGATCGTCTCAGCAGCTACCTAACCCTTTTTTCCTCGAATATAAGCTCTTTATAGGCTGTCGAATTGAACACAGATTTGTTTTACCGATTTACAAAATTCTCTGTAAGTGCCTAGACAGGAATGTTTATTGGTGTTGCTACCGCTAGCACACACTTCATCCTTTATTCTTCGGACCATCTTAGCAGATGCTCAGCCTCTTCTTCTCACGATTCTGAGCACCTTTTAAGTTATCAAGCAGAATATTGGTTCGTTTATCGATCGAACATCTGAGATTGTTCAGAGGGGGGTTCGCCGAAGTTCTACCCATCTCGTACGCTTGCGCCGTGAATCTGCAGAGCATCTCAGCAGCTACTCGGTGACTTCTTCCACGATTGTAAAGGCTTCTTAGATAGTTGAAATTAGTATCGATTCGCTATCGATCAGCATCTCTTTGTTCAAATGTCTGGGAAGAGGGTTTCGTCGGTGTTCCTACCACTAGAGTACGCTTGCGCCTTAAAATTTCAGACTACCTTAGCAGCTAGTCGGCCACTTCCTTCCACTATTCCAAGCGTCTATTGAGTTACCTTATCGGGTATTGTTTCTGTTATCGATTAAACATGCCCTAGACTTTCCAAAGAGGGGCTTTCGTAGGAGTCCCACTCACGTACGCTTGATCATCAAATCTTCAGACCCTCTGAGCAGCTCGCCGTCATCCATCTACCGATCTGAGCTCCTTTGAACCCAGAATCGTATTGACCTTTTCATCACATCAGGCCATCATCAATCAAACACTCCCCTGAAACGCCTGCAGGAAGGGAGGAGGGAGGGAGGAGTCGTTAAGTTCTATGGCCGCAACGCATTGCGCCTAATCTTCAGATCTTCTCAGCCGCTACTCAAGCGCTTCTTCCACGATCCCAGGGGCCCTCAGGTAATCGAATCGAGTATTGCTCCTTCTATCGAGCAGGTATCCCTACGCAAAAGTCGAAAAGCGGGACGAGGGTGGAGGCGGCCTGGATCGAAGTCCTAATGTATCGCTTCGCTGCTTCTTCCCCTACCATTCCAAACCGGCTATTTCTAGATTGCTGAAGAACCTGATGATTCCCATTGAACCATTGCCGAAGGTCAGAAATGGGGAGGCATAGGAAGTTCCAACATTTGTGACCGCCTGCTGGCCAAACCGCTTCTTGAAGAGCTTTTAATGGGCACGCCAGTTTTATTTTGATTTTGTTGCGACGAATGTTACGTGTGCCTCTAATTTTATTCCACTTCAGTATCTGTCTTATCTAACCTCGAAGCCCTTTTTAGAAGGAGAAGGAAGTCGACGATGCGTAGCGATTGATAAGCTGCAGGCAGTAGCAGCTCTTCAAGTGGAGTAGTTGATGTTCCACAAGAAGACCGAAAGGCAGACTCGATGAACAAAACTCAGCCAGAACAGTTACACAAAACTGATAACTGTCAGGGAACTGACGAGCATTTTTTCAGTTGCTGGAGGACAGCAATTACTTGCGGCGGTCTGCAAGATCAAAACAAACTGGAAAGGGTCGTAAAAGCAGCAGTCCTTCTGAGGTTTGATTATCGATTGAACTCTATTATCTCATTGAACTAGAGATTATATTCCTCAACGTATTAGCGTGGCTTGCCTAGAAACACTCTTTTTGGGGCGCTTCAAAGATTCCAAAAAGTCTGAGCGGATCTGGTCCACATCAGAAACGACTGATACTGAAGTAGGTATTATCGGTCAGCTGAACATCGATCTGTAGCGAGCTTGTGTCCAAAGTGACTTTCTAACCATCTGCCACCTCTCCGGTACAGAAAGTCCCGCTTTGCTCCTAAAAGTACGGTTGCTGAGAAGCTACCTAGTGAAACACTTATTTCCTTTGCTTCTATACTTCTATTCATCCTGCTGAGCGCTAAGGGCGGTGGCCACGCAGCGGCGCCGACCAGGGCACGTGGTACGCGGAGGAGTCCCTGAAGGAGAGGGGTCGCATTTGGTTACTGGAGGGAAGTTGGTCGTATTAGACTTTTTTGATAGTTGATTTTTCCTGTCTTACGCCCGCCGCACACCCTTCTCCGAATGGTGGCGTAGTCGAAGTCTTATACAATTGCTATTTCCAATAGTCGAAATTAGAAGTTGTTTGGTGACCACCTCACCCCGCAACCATGGCTTGGCAGAGTGCAGACGACGAGAGTCGTGCGCGGGACAGAGACATATAGTCGCGCCGCCGCGTACCCCAAGATGTAATGTGTGGGAACCCATCAGCGATCCAGTGGACGGCTATACTCTAAGGGTTTTCTTCCAGGAAGATGAAAGCAAAAGTGAGGATTCTTCTTCGGATTCTGAGGATTACAAGCGAAAAAGCCGTAAGGTGATTTCTCAGAAGAAGTCGAAAAAAGTTTCAAAGACCCGTTCTCGCGGACCAAAATCATCTCGATCACAAGTGGATTACACAGAAAAGGGAACCGATGAAGACGTGGGTGGAATTCAGCTTTTGTTGATGAGCAGTTCTATCCAATTCACGGAGTTTTTCCGGATTTATATTCAGATCGATGACAATGATGTTCTCGAATGGGAAGATGACAAGAAGTCACCGTCTTCGGTTGCAGCCAACGCTGAAACTATTGAGCGTGTGCGTAATTGGGTTTCGTTTTTCATTACATTACTAGCCACAAATGCATTCTGTGGATGTGATCCCTAGACCGTGATGTTCTTTCCCAGGTACTTTTTGGACTGTGAGGAATGTACTTTTCAGGTTATCAAATCACGAATGGGATCTGTAGGCGCTACTGGTTCGGCAACTACATGCTATAATGTAGCAGAGAAGGGAGACCCTAACGACCCTTCGTCTAGTTCACTAGAGCAACAATTTCTTATCAAGTATGTGACTCATTATCTTCTGTTTTTACTCCCTTCAAATGAATTTCGTCTGTTTGACTGAATTCATCAAGCGGGCCCCTACCTGCTCGCTGCATTGATATTTTGTGGTTCTGGAGGGTATGTGCGAGAATGCGCAATTAAGGAAAATAGTGATCATGGAAAACATACTATTGCGTAGAATTCGCGGTGTTAAGTAGTTGGGAGGGGGTGGGACACTTGCTCGTTGCTTACTATCCCCTCTTCTGACCAAAGCTTAGGCTTGCAGTGCAGACGACCAAAGTCGGCGGAGGTCGCAGGGAAGACGTAATCTTCATCAGCCTAACAGCAGGGAGGAGGGGAGAATTTTGCAAAATACCACTCCCCTGCACCCCCCCCCCCTCCCACTCGTCAGCATTTCATCTTCTGGTACAACCCCCTTCTTCATCCCACATCCTGCCTAACATTTCTCTAACAGGGAGAATTTTGCAAAGTACAATCCCACCTCCCTCAAAATTTTATCACTAAGAATAACAGTTGTGAAGGGGCTATAAAGCGCACGTAAAAGGGAAAGCTAGAAAAGTCAAACCGGAAATTTTCTGACCGAAGCAAATCACAATCCCCTCTCTCCAGCGACTGAACACCCCCTTCCTAGCTGGGATTTCCAACGTACGACGTGACCGAAACCTATGCCTTGGATCGTGAAGGGTCACAAAACGCGGGGCTAGTGCCCCTTGCCTCCCCATTTACGCTAGCGCTGGATCCACTAATCAGGCGAATCGATGCAGAACCATGAATAAAGGAATG